CATCTTCATCCCTGAAAGTGACTGCTGGCCTGCAGATGAGTGTAAACTGCCGAGTCTTGGCCTGAAGATGTTGCTCTTCTGTGCTGGGCCAAAGAGCAACATCATCAGGCCAGGAGAACTCTGTGGTTTACACTCATCTGCAGGCCAGCAGTCACTTTCAGGGATGAAGATGTGCTCATCCTTGATAGAGAGAAGTGTTGGTTTGAGAGAGGAGTAAAGGAAGCCATCTTTGTGATGAGAACTCATCCATCATTAAACAGGGACAGAGGCCTCTGTGTCCAACTGTAGCCCTCTTACAATGCTGTTATTGCTGGTATCTCTCAGCCCCCTGTGAATAGCAAACAGCCTAGAGCACTAACGATCCATTGTTAGGCTGATGATGGTCCTCCTTTATCATGTTAACAGCTAGTTCTGGATGTCAGCAACAAACTGGTTGATCCACTATGAAAAGAGACTATTTGAAACCAAGTTTGTTGCAGCTTCTCAAACTGACAGTCTTTTGGATTAAAGACTAAACGTTTCAACAAGTTTTTTTTTTTTTTAATCTGTCCAGAGGACCTGACTTAACTTTTTTAGAATTTCTACCTGGATTATTGAGGATATTTTGTGTATACCCTTCATTACTCCAATAAATTATCTGAATATTAAAATCCTTGTATTACAATATTTTATTTAAACTTTATTTTACCAGGTAAAGTTCCGTTGAGATTAAGACCTTTTTTTTGTTATATGAATAGCCAATACATATAAATAGTCAATAAGTGAAAACTCAGTTAGACGTGTGCAAACAACATGCATTCAAAGTGCGCTCAATTGAACTCAGTCTTGGTGGTTTGCGTTAATCAGGTGGTGGTGGCCTGGGATGGTATCAAAATTCCCGGCCTGGATTATTGTCCCAGTCCGCCCCTGCTCTCCACTGCACACCTGTACAAGGAGGTGAGGACTGAGCTTCTCGGACCAGCTCGTCTCAGTCGCCTGAGGAAGTAGAGTCTCTGATGATCTTTCTTGATCAGGCTGGTGGTGTTGTTGTCACACCTGTTAAAAAAAAAAGAAGAAGAAAGCATTATGTTATTTTTGTTTGCGTAGTATTGTCAACAATAATGAGAATAAACCTTGACCATAAACTAAGGTGACCAGATTTCTGACATTAAATCTGGGGATATTTCCAGCTCGGAGACCAAAAAGAATAAAATGTTAAGATTAAATTGAAAAACGGGAATTGTTACGGTTTCATTTACTTTTACATATTAATTCATGTTTAAACAATAAAAATAAAATTAACAGCTGGAATGTATCTCTCGTGTCCACACACGTTTCCTAAGAGTAATAATATCCCCATGAAATGTGTTCCTTACCTATATATGAATTGAAAGTGCTAAACTTGTTGTGCTCAAGTTAGATAAACTTTAATTTGACCAAATTCCACTCACCTCACTGGAGACAAACAGTTCATGACTCTGAGATACAGCAAGTTCTTCATACATGAGTTTTTGTTTTATAGCTTTAAAATTATTTAATGTAGATTTTCTTAAGTTTAAAGCTGCATAATTGCATACGTGTTAAATTCCACATGCGCCCTCTGCTGGTCCAATGTGGGAATTACAACACAAACTCAAATCAGTGCGTCACACAGTGAATAGAGATGAGAGCTTCTTCACTAACTAATAAACCTAATTACACTCAAATGTAACTCCACTTTTGGTGGTATCACACAGGCAGGATGAAAATAAT